CGTTACTTACAATCAAGTTAGAAAGTTATCGTTCAAATGTGTATGTAGTATAAATAAATTTTTTGTTGTTGTTAATTACATTTGATAATTCTAAGCAGATAACGGAAACTGTAGGAACTTTCCGTTCAAAAAACAGTTTATAATTGTTCATAACTGCGCACAGTCTTCGTAGAACTTCTTCACAGTGATATTTTTTACATTTCTATTGAAAATATTTTTGACTGGAATGTTATTTTTGAAAATGTGTAATTTTATAATTTTAACTGTCATAATGATGTCATAATTTACAAAGAATCATATTGCCTTAATGTTTGATACATAAATATTTATGGATTGTAAAATCATTTTGGATTTTGCATTATCATTAGGTATCTTTCTAAACACCGTCCAATCCGTCGGAATTTATTGCTTTTATATCTTGTTTCTTATGCCGGCTCTACACACGGGGGTCAACGTTGGCCCCAACAACGTTCGTCCAATGTACCGACAAAACTGTGTTGGGGCCAATGTTGGCGCCAACGTTTTTATGACTAACTCCAACGTTGAGAGTTTTCAGTGGCCTGTCGGTTTTTGCGTACACATCAAAGGGATTGGCGCCACAGACTGATATCGCCCCAATACTCAACCCAATCTGTGGATGCCTCACTGAACAGGACCCAATGTTGGGTTAACTGTGTTCCCACATTTGGTGAGACATCCACACATTAGGTTGAGTATTTGGGCGATATCAGTCTGTTCGTCAATATGTCCGACATGGAAATTGCAGCGGCTACGACTGTCGTGATAATGAGTGCATATGATTATATTTTGCTACAAATAAGGCGAATTTTACGTCATTTTGTTTACAGCGTTACTTAAAGCTACTAGAACTTTAGAGATGCCGTATTTGGCAACTACAGACTGAATATATGAGTATAAACCTGACGTCGAAGCTCTCAATTATACTTTATAAGAATAAAGAATTATCCGGGAAGCTATAAAAATGGAAAAAAGGCCAAACTGTCTCAATAAAAGAAATAACGGTTATGTTTATCTTCAACATGGAGACCTCTCATAAAGAAAATATCGTCTGTCTAAAATCCTACTGTCAGAAATATTCGCGCCAACCTTCGCGCAAATCCCCCATCCCCCCGCCAACCTCCACCCACACCACTTTACCATCAACGGTATAAATGTACTGTCCTCCGTTCCTAGTGGCCGTAATGCATTGATTAGTGATACGTGTAGTAGTGTCTATGGGCTCGGGATATTGAGACCTCGGAAGCCCTGAAGAAGACATCAGAGATGATGTCGAAAGCTCGGCGCAATGATAATCGATGCGGTTCAACCGGGAAGACTGTTAAGTTTAATATTAATTTTTGTCATAATATTATACTTAGCTCTAGGTTTAATTGGACTAACCCGCGAAAATTTTCGGAACATTATCTATATGCGTATATATGTATATGTATACATTATATATATATATATATATATATATATATATATATATATATATATATATATATATATATTTACAAAAAAAATGTGTCAGACGAGGATATATACTGTCTCCACAATTATTTAATATTTATGGGAAGCATATTATGAGAAGAACGCTTGAAGGGAAAACGCTTGTAAAGGCACTACAAGTGAATTCAAATCTTAAATATTTTTCAACCTTGTTTAGGCTCTGCGATTCTTCAAAGAAGGGGTACTCCCATTTTTTGCGGAGTAGTGGTGGTGTGATAAAACGTGATGATTGATATTTTACGAGGAGAATTAGTGGACTGCTAAGGAGCTGGGAGGAGCGCTTATTAGGAGTACAATATTCCATGATCTACGCATGTCCTCAAAATGTCAAATAATATGTTGGCGCGAATTCATCAGATTCATTTGTAAACAACATATTTTTGTAAAGTAAGTAACGTGTAACGTTGAAGACGATTAAAATATTTTTTGTTTTTATCTTGTACTTGGCATCTAATAATATAAAATGCCAGTATTTTGTTTTGAGTGCGGGAAAACTTTTTCCTTTCAATACAATCTGAATGAACATTTAAATTTAATAATGACTTGAGAGAATATTTGTTTGATAATCATAATTTCGAGAATGTTCTGAAAGAATCATATTTTAAAACTCATATGGGTATGTATAATTATCATCTTTTATTAAGGAATCTTCTTCTAAATGTTTAAATTTTTTAGATTTCTCTCAATGGCTTTTGGAAATACAAACTCTGAATAAATTTTAGTATGTCAAATCTACTGGGAGTAAACAAATTTGAAAAACACTATTATGAGTGTAGGCGTTCACATAGATACAGGGAAGAGAAGCATGATTTAAAAATGAAGCGAAAAAGAAAATTAAAATCACAGGAATCTTGTAAATTGGAAAAGTCATGTGTAGCCAAATTATTTTAAAAAGGAATGGGGAATCGGATGAGTGTTTTATTAAATATTACAAATCACATTATTTACATGGTGAAGATATACAACATTTGCAGATTACAAAGGGAAATAAGGATATAATTGCTTCTAAAGGATATAAGAATATATAAGGATAAAATTGCTTTCCTTAGAAGGAAAGAAAATAAAAGATTAGACAAAACTATTAACCAATTAATGCTCTTTATACGTGATAAAACTGTTGAGAGAATAATTTATTTAAAGAAAGGTAAAAATGTATCTAAAACAGAGGAAAATGACAATATACCAGAAATAGAAACAGACATTTCAGAATTATCATCACAATTGGGTACCACTAACAATAGCAGTGATAATATTAAAGAAAAAATTAAAAACAACTGCCTACAAATCATGAAAAGAATTGAAAAAGATAAGTTAAGCCAAGAACAACTAGAGTTAATGTTGAAACACTCTAATATAGTGATTGCTTTAGCCTCTGTAAAACCAATTAATATTTTTGAAACAAGTAAGGATAGTTTAAATGAACCTGCTGATAAAAAAATTATTAAACAAAAATCATTCTGTTCAACAAAAAAAAAAAAAGAAGTGTCTCAAAAAGAATTTCTATTCAAAGGCTTCTTTCTACAAGCGAAAATGTTATGATAAATGAATTTGTAAATATTTAATTAATTATTTTAAAGGATTGTAAATATGATCATGAATATATTTAATTTTATAATCCTGTGTAAAATTCAATTACTATAACCTAACCTAATCCCAAATGAAATATAAAATGATTATTATGATATATTTTATACAAACCCTGCTATTTTTTAATGGATAATAAAACAAAAGTTTACCTTTTAAAATTTCAAATAAGACCGCGCTTTCAAAATTAATGAAATTGTTACGCATGCGTAGTGAATGGAATATTGTACGCCAGTTAGGCGCTCCTGGAGCTGGGCGTGTTTGTGTGGACGATGTGTTAAGAAGCGTACAAGAGGAGTTTTAGGTAAGCTATGCCAAACATGTTAAAGGAGGTACCTTAGGGGTTACCAGCTATACAAAAGGAACGGCTCTTAATCAGCATTTTTGGCGTGCAGTTGTTAGCTGCGATATTCAATGGGGATTATTTTTAAGATTTCAATATACTTCAAGAAGTTCGTCTCCAGTGTTATGTAGAAGTTTAGCTTGAGGGAATGAAACTTTTCTTTGTAGAATTCTGGTGAGTATTTGAGTGACCCTCGGCGATTGCAAGGTGTCTTTAATACTTGTTTCGCTCGATTATTCGAGCCTGCGATGGTTCGAAGGACATGCCTCCTGCTGAGGGATAGAATTCTGTCCTTAATAGGTGTTACATTTGCCAATATGTATATGTGTGCTGATGGATAGTGTCTGCTCACCCTCATGCAGGATCTGAGGATTTTTCTTTTAGTAGCCATGATGGCATTGATTTCATAAGGTAAAAGAGAGGCGTAGATACATTGTTGATAATAGGTCTAATGAATGTTTTACAGGTACGCAATAGAGTGAAAAAATGCCGTCCTGCCCAATTTGCCGGAGAGCACTGCAAGGAGTATTTTGAGTATAAGAAACCAGCTTACGAAAGGCTCTTATCAAGATGAACCAAGATGTCGTGGAATGCCATTTTAGATTTCTTATGTTCTTCCATTCATCGTAAGCTTGCTTTGAAAATTGTAGAAGGTACAGATTTAGGCAAAAATCTAAATTTTTGTTTCAAACAGCTAGAAATCGTCGGATTTCTACTTTCAATTTTGTTAGTTAATACTTATTTAAGTCAAGATTGTGTATTACTCAATAGAAAAATTGTTTATTTGTTTTAACTTTCGATATAAAGCGTCACAATTCTTAAAGCCAGCTCTTTGCTGTGTAAATAATTTATGTGATTGCAAGAATATATTTTACATTCAATTGAAAAATCAGAATAAACGTAGACTTTGTGAAATATGATGTGTCCGCATATCTACTTAACAATAAAAGAATTTACACCAGCTACAAAATAATGGTTTTTCTCTGGTTTTACAACACACCAAAATGTTGTATTGATATACTAAACCGTAAATGTAAGTCTCTTGTTTCAGGTGAGTAAAATGTATGGGCTGTCATTGAATTAATTATTGTTTTTTGTATGTGAAGCCCATGTGTGAAATTTTTATTTTGGTGTGCAATAAAATCGGTACTCGCTTGCTTAGTCAATTTTATAGTTCAAGCTTATTACACTGATAATTTACATTGTAAACTTAGTTATTTAAAACTACTTTTCGTTATTTCTTTAAGTATGTTTTACTATTTATGATTGTTACACGCAGAACAAACGCTATTACACACATATTTAAATACTTTATTGTAACAACTGACCAAGAAATATTTAAACCTATTGTCTTAATTAAGTTTTAGGGAAAAATAGTTTAATGTTAGTGTAACATATAAATTTTTTTTGAAGACACTGAATCTTTTCGTAAAGATAGTTTTTAAAGCTTCGATAAATTCTTGACCCAACCATATTTCACTTTAATATGTTATTAAACAATTTCCTTTTTTGGCTTTTGCAGGAACAGTTCAGATGAATAATTTTTTTAAATTATACTTACATGTAGTAGCTATCTTATAGAGCGGACGGTAAGGTTGATCGGCAGAATCACCGGGTATATAGTCTCCTAAACCTATCGTTGTCAAGGAAATAAAGCAATAATATATAGAGTCTAGATAATCCCATTCTGGTTCTATTGCGGCGAAGGCAGCAGCTGGAAGTAACAGGAAGATGCATACTAGAATAAGCACTGAAAAAAAAAAAATATGATTAAATAGCTATTATAGTTTATTATACCTATCAATTTTAAAAACTTTAATAACATTAGTGGACAAAGTCAAATAGTCGTAACTGGAAGACGAAATGGCACTAAAAATTTGATAAAAAATGACTAGAACAAGACTTTGGGTGCCAAAGTGGTCATATAATATAGCTTACTCTAGTTAAAAAGTTCACTGATCTTACTCTATCATAGAAATTAATGTCTGTTTTTCGACAAAAATATCGACAGTTGTAATCCAATTTTTTGCCATCGTTGGTTAGACTAAAAAGCTAGATCAGCACAAGTCAGATGTTATATATGTTGTAAACATGAAATTATATTTGGTAGTCTTCAGCAGGTTTCTTTTCTTTATTCTTTTCTCTTTTGTGCAATTTGAGTTCATCTTGCTCAGCATATTAATTAATCTATTATATGATTCCATTGTTAAGTTTTAGGTGAGTTGACGTCATTTTCTTGGCATTAACTATAATGTTGATTTCTTTTGTTTTTCTCTCTAACATCTTCCTCTTCTGAGAGTGCCGTCTCCCTACGGTGGTTGGCAATCATAATGGCTATTCTTATTTTAGAACTTGCTGCTCTAAACAAATCAATCGATCTGCATTGATACCAATCACAGAGATTCTTTAACCATGAGTTCTGCCTTCGGCCAACAGATCTTCTTTCTTGAATCTTTCCCTGTATTATGAGTCTCAAAATTTCATATTTTGGTCCCCTAATCACGTAGCCTAGGTATTCCAGTTTTCTGGTTTGTATAGTGGTGATTAGTTCTGTTTCTTTACCAACCCTCTCCAGTACTTCTTTATTTGTAATTCTATCAGTCCATGATATTTTTAATACTCTGCGGTATAACCAGAGTTCGAAACAAGACAGTATATGGAGACAAACGTGGCAAATGCCTATTGCATATACACCGATGGCTCCAAAATGAAAGAAGGCTCAGGATGCGGGATATACTCCAGATCACTGAACCTAAGAATAAAGTGGGGTATGGGCAAAAATGAAAGTGTAGTTCAGACAAAACTAACTGGTATTACCATAGCCGCAAAAGAGATAACCCAAAAAGGTATAGCAGAGAAAACTATAATGATCTGCACAGATAGCAGACAAGCGCTACTAACCTTGAATAGACCACGTGTCACATCAGGTTTAGTAATGGAGTGTCACGAGTCACTAACTCAAGCTTCGGATGGTAAAACCATCATCCTAAAGTGGGTTAAAGGACACAATAGGAATAAAGGCAACCGCATTGCTGACCAATTATCTAGGAAGGCGGCACGCCTAAGACTCTTAGGACCTGGGGATCTTTTTGGTTGGTCAACTACAACAATCGCGGAAATTGTCAAATGTCACTCCCATACCCAAACCGTAAAAAGATGGGAAGAAGGGAAAGGATGTAAACTTGCCAGGGTAACACTAAGTAACTTTGAAGAGTCAACACCAAAGAAGTATTTGGGAATGACCAGGAAAAATCTACGTTTGGCAGTTCCTCCATACACTGGGGCTATGTAGGAAGTGTGAACGAGAAGACGAAACTGTAGAGCGTGTCCTACGTGAATGCCCAGAGTTATCGTTAATACGAGAGTACGCGTTCGGCGAGTCCTGGCCTACACCTGCCCACATAAGTGAGATGTCTCCTGGTGACTTGTCCACCTTCCTAGAAATGGCAGGATGGACAATGAGCTAAGGGTGATAGCTCCCTGGGAGGATGCACAATGGGTCAATTGTGGCCTAAGTGCTGTGAAACCTAACTCGCCCTCCCTACTCTACAGATACAGATACAGAAGCACAGTTCGAAAGCCTCGATTCTTTTTAAATCTCTCTAACATCTGCTAGTTTGTAAATTAAGGAGATTTTTAAAATGGCCTGTACAACCTACATTACTTTTTTTAAGAGCTGTTGCGCGTGCTCTCCCTGTTGGCTGTACTTTCGGTTTGGGGTAGTGTGGGTCTTAAGTTACTCACGCGAACGGTACCAATCTGGACTTATCCACTAAACACTTCTATCCTCTATGGTAAACTCGGTGGTACTCTAATCGAGTGTAATTTTGAGTATGTCGCTTTTGTCTCTGTTCTGTGTATGTTCAGTTTCTTTTGTTTTTTAGTTTTGCCTATTCTGTAGCATTCTCTTATATTCTAGTTTCTTTTTTATACTATCAGTAATAGTCCCTACTGTTAAATTAAACTACTCTTTGCTGGATATATCTTATTTTATTATGTTTTCTGGTATAATCTTTCCTATTTTTTACAAGCGTTTCCCTTTCCTGGTTGAATTGATTGCATGCAAAATTGCAATCAATTCAGTCAGGAAAGGGAAAAGCTTGTAAAAAATAGGAAAGATTATACCAGAAAACATAATAAAATAAGCTATATCCAGCAAAGATATGTTCTGCGTCATCCTCAATCTCACACACTACGCATTGATCATCAGTAAGCAGGTCCTTAAATACCCATGACTCGCCAAAAACTGTGTGAAATAGAAGTTGATTTGTTTAAATTTGCAGTTTATCGAGGGCTCTACGTTGGGGATGAGTGTAAACATTTAATTTGCTTTAGTTCTTTCTTCGGAACACTCTCTTTACCACTGTCACACTCTTTTTCTGCTTTCCTTAATGAGCTTTTTTTTACCTCCTCTTCTTTTATTGTACATAGTCACCTTCACATTTAAATTAACTGGATTGGTACAACGCCTGCTATCACTTGTATATCGATTTTTGAGGTTGTCCTATATGCGCTTATCACCCTTAGTAGTAGTTTTATTTGCCTTCTTTATTATCATTTCCATGTACTTTTTTTTTTAATACCTCTTCCCAGATTGGAATCGCATATAGAACTGTAGCGTGTAATCTTTCTAAATAAATCTTACTTCCGTATAAACTAGGTCTGGACATGGAGACCTGAAACAGGGTTCCTCTAAAAAAACAAGCTCTTGTGACAAAAAAAAAGGGGAAACAGGGAAAAGCTACAGGGAGCCCCCTTGCTAACAATCTGTAGATAATAATGGTAGTGCTTTGGAAATTGTTGCTCGGCCTTACAGCGGCCATCCCGCTTCTGAATCGCTGAATAACAGAGGAGGGTCTGGTTTAACAGGTAGCCATTAGGCGTAGATCTGGCTACGAGAGGGAGTTTTAAAGTACCTCGGCAACTATTGCTGGGAGAAAAAAACGGATCCTACACTACCACTGACTGACCAGGTCAGTCAGGTGGCGTCCTGGACTTTCTTTTTATTTTTTTTAATATGACTACCTCTGTCTTCTTCCCCACTAATACCAATTTCGTTTTTAACCCATATGGATACTTTGTTCAGAACCTTGTTTTCATTTTCTGTTCTGAAATTCCCCAATATATATTGTCTTCCATTACGATGGCTAGATCATATGCAAAAGCAACTGCTCTTAATCCTTCTTCAAAGTTTAGCTCCAATACCTCGTTTTACTCCAGATGTAACATGACGTTCCACAGTATCGTTCCTAACAGATCTCTGAGAAACCTTCGACGGTGTATCTAACCATTTTTTACTGGTTACTCTTACTATACTGTTTGATATATAGTCACCAATAATGTTCATTAAATCATCATTATCTAGAATTCTGCGTCCAAAGTTGAACATAGGTCACCCCTAATTTCTTCTAGTTGTTTCAGTCTTGAGCTTCCTTCAGCCAATTCACAGCAATTCTTTTCAAACAAAGATAGACCAGCCGTCTACCTTTGCTGCTTTTATCAGCTCGTGGTCTACACACTGTAATATTTGGGTCCACCGCCCATCATTCATTCTATCAACATGGCCCGCCTAGGTCCACTTCACCCATGCTATATACTCTATGATATCTGTGACGCCTGTCCTTATTCTTATTTCTTCGTTTCTAACTATGTCTCTGAGTGTCAGTCCAAGTAGCGAGCATTCCATTCGTCTTTAGGCTACTCTAAGTTTGGTTGCTGTAGCCTGGGTTACAGAAAGGGTTTCAGAGCCGCAACTCATAACTGGAAGCACGAATTGGTCGAACATCTTCTTTTTCAAATAATTTGGCAAGATAGATAGAAGATAGATAAATGGCAGAAAGAATGTAAAAATAAGATATTGTGTAACACATTAATGAGGAGTTTAAAACCTAAGCTATCCCAAATTAATTTAGATTCCAGTTTTGTGGGCTCTTCTATTGAGGCTTCACTCTTTTAGTCCTTAGAGGAGAACTGGGCATACATAACACATGGACCAGAAGTATGATAACAGTTTTTTTATTTATATGACACATTATCTCGCTAGTTCTATTATTATTATTATATCTTGCTTGTATATTTTAACACATTTATAATATATCTGAAATTATTTATTATCCTTGACAGTAAAGTAAAAGACAAGTATCAAAAATAAATTAATTAAAAAAAAATTTAATAAATTTTTACTACTTACTCATTATTATGAGATGCATTATCCTTATGTTTAAAGGCTGATATAAATGTCCAAGTCTTGAATTAAGCCATTGCAGCAGTCCAACTGTGGGTACCAAAAGTCTTTCCACCAGAGCGGATAGCAGTACCAGTGTCAGAGGAATGCCCACCATAGCGTACACCATACAAAATATTTTGCCCATTCTGCTTAGTGGCGTTACGTGACCATAACCTTAAAAAATAATTTATTTTAAAATACGAAAATGATTAACTTTATTTATTAGTAAATGTAGTTTTTTTGTACACACTTATGGACAAATAAAAAAATGAAAAAAAAGTTTTTTGTAAGTGTGTAAAATTTTTTAAATTCCAAATCAAGTTTTAAAAGGCAGCACTACTCATGAGATATCCCATTTAGTGAAAATATCCACAATTTTTACTTTTTTTTTAATTAAAATCTAAAAAACACATTAAACAATTTGTTTATGATACGGGTGTAAAAACCCGAACATTTGGTTGGAGTTGAAGGGACAGACACAATGAGTAGAGTCTAAAGTGTAAAGTCTAAAGTAAAAGAAAGTACTACAGGATAAGCTTAAATATTAAAACAACCGAATATACAACATTTTACAAAGAATATAAACACATTATATAAACGAGATAGATAACACATTATACACTGTGTCCGTAAAGTATGGAGCAAATTCTTTTTTAGCTAAACAGAGTATTTTAAGAAATAATCCTGAAACATGTCGATTTTTGATTTAAATTTACCGTATTTTAAAATAATATTCTAATAAGGGTGAATTACTTTCGAGTAATGACGTCACCGTCATTTTTTTAAATGGAACACCCCCATTTTATCTCAATTTTCGGATTACTCTAGCTGAGCTGATTCCAAAAATGTATCACATGTTGATTCAAATTGGTACAGGGTGGGCAAAAATACAATAGTTTTGTGTGTGTTCATAAAGTAACGCGTTAGTTAAATTAACAATATCATCAAAAATACTTATTGTCTAGCGGACAGAATATGATGAAATACATGACTTTATAAATGTTCGAACTGTAGCCCTTGCTGTATTTGACAGTAACCCAAACGTTGTACAAATTCTTGTTGAGCCTTGTTTATTGTGTGTTGAGAAATATTGTTTATTGCTGTCCAAATTCTCTGTTGTAATTTCCTAAATATTTGCCGGTTTCGTTTGATACACAACATTCTTCAGATGGCCCCACATAAAATAATCCAAAGGATTAAAATCTGGTGACCTAGCTGGCCATTCAATAGGTCCACGTCTACATCATAATGTGGAAGTACACCATCCTGTTGCAACCATAAACTTTCAGCAAAACCTCCAGGATTACGTCTGCTGGGAAACAAATTACGTAAAGTAGGTACGAGATCTCTTTTTAAAAACTCAAGGTACGTTGCCCCATTTAAATTACCTTCGATAAAGTAGGGTCTGATGATTCGATTTCTTACAATTGCAGCTGATACATTTACCTTTTGCGAGTATTGTGTATGATGCTCACGCATCCAGTGAGGGTTTTCTTTTGCCCAGTATCTACATTTCTGACGGATAACCTCGCCATTTAACGTGAAAGTGGCCTCATCAGAAAAAATAATGTTTTGTACCAAGTGAGGGTCTCGGTGGCAGTTATCCATCATTGCTTCGCAAAATTGCATTCTTCTATCGGGATCATCTTCGTTTAATTCCTGCACAAGTTTAATTTTATAAGGATGCCATTTTTCAAGCTTTAATAGTTTGTGTACCGTTATTTTGCTGAAACCGATTTAGCGACTAACTTTACGCACAGAAGTGTGCGCATCTTCTTCAAAACTAAGTAAAACATCCAATGCTGTATCAGCATTTGCAGAGGGACGACCTGATTTCCGTGCATTTTCAACCGTACCAGTTTCTTGAAATTTCTTTTTAATCTTACTGACTGTTGAACGCATTATAGGTCTTTCTGGATATTTATCATTAAACAAATTACACACTTCCATCTCAGTTCGCGATCTGTCTCCATACCCAATCATCATAACTATTTCAATTCTTTGCTTTACCCTTAACTCCTAATTTACTTTAAATTAAATCTAAGGAATAATTAAAACATTCACAAATACCAAAAAATATTGTAGTATTAAACTGTCACTGAACATCAATAAATTACCTACTAAACAAATAATGACATTTAACAAAATCATAGCCTACTATGTTCCTTTTAAATTGATAAGAAATAATTTCTTTCATATTCTGTACGTTAGACAATAAGTATTTTTGACGCGTTACTTTATGAGCACATACAAAACTATTGTACTTTTGTCCACCCTGTACCAATTTGAATCAACATGTAATACATTTTTGGAATCAGCTCAGCTAGAGTAATCCGAAAATTGAGATAAAATGGGGGTGTTCCATTAAAAAAAATTACGGTGACGTCATTACTCGAAAGTAATTCACCCTGTATATTAGAATATTATTATAAAGTACAATAAATTAAAATCAAAAATCGACGTGTTTCAGGATTGTTTCTTAAAATGCTCTGTTTAGCTAAAAAAGAATTTGTTCCCTACTTTACGAACACAGTGTATAAATACGATAGATAACACATTATATAAATACAATAGATAACAATTAGAAGAGAATAAAGGGGCTATTTTCTTGCTTTCTTTAGCGATTTTTATTAATTAGAGCAGCTCACCCAATTCTATTCCTCCTATAACCTTTGTATTATATAAATTATCTTCTTCTGACTCACATGTTTCCATATAACATGCTCTGAAGTTCCTATTGGGGTTTGATTCTAAACCGCACAGAATTAAAGCAATATTAGTATAAGCAAATAATAAAACAGATGGACATATCTCTGTAAAATTTAAGTATAAAGACTTAAATAATTGATGGATTCGATCGTTACTTGATGGAAATTCATTTTATGTAACAATAAAACACTGAAAACTTTGTTTTCAAACTTCCACAAAATTTATTTGAAATATTATCACTACAGCTGTTTCGGCTGATTGCCTTTCTCAAGTGATCTATTTTGGCTTGGGTTTACAAATATATAGTCTCTAATGAAATAGGTTGAGGAAGGGAGAACTGTTTGTCTCAAGTTGGTCATTCAGAATTATATCTGTGTTTTTTAATTTGTTGATTTCCATAGATTCTAACAAAGATAGCTTAAGGCCTTTATTTTGAATGTGAAGAATTTTAAATTTGTCATTAAAAGAATGATTATGATCTAGAAGGTGAAGTGCGTATGTCGAATCTGTTTTTCTATTCTTGAAAGCCCTTTTATGTTCTGCTATTCGTTTATCAAAGTTTCTACCAGTTTGACCAATGTAAGTTTTTAGGCAGTCGCCACATTCAAGTTTGTACACACCACTATTTAAGTGTTTTTTATTTTGGCTCTCGTTATTTTTAATATATTTGCCTAGGTTGTTATTTGTTCGGAAAGCTGGTGTTATTCATTTCTTTTTTATGTGCTTGGCAATTTTTGTTGTTATTTTGCCTGTATATGTAATCGAGCAGAAGGTACTGAGTTTTTTCTCTGGTGGTGGAAATACTAATTTCAGGGCTTTCTTGTGTAGTTTTTGATTTAACATTTTATTAATTGTTTGTTCGTTGTATCCGTTGTTTACTGCTATCTGCTTAATTATATTTAATTCTGTCTCAAAGTTGTATTTTGACATAGGAATTTCTGTTAATCTATGTAACATACTATGATAAGCTGCCAGTTTTTGTTGTGTTGGATGGGATGACGAATTGTGTATAGTCGTGTCAGTATGGGTAGGTTTATGAAATATGGAGCAGACTTCAAAACAAACATGACTTCTGAAATAAATTTTGTGGAAGTTTGAAAACAAAGTTTTCAGTATTTTATTGTTATATAAAGACTTAAATGGGATGAGTTATGTATGGTATTTACTAAAATAAGATGTCTATGTTAAAACGGCTAAATTAAGTTTAAAAGGTTGGTACCATTCACTAGAATAAATACTAAAAAAGAAACACCGAAAAAATGTTTTGGAAGAAAGTGAAAAAAGATCAAGGAGGAACCAAGAAATAGTTAACGGCATTAGGATGTAGAAGACCAGAAGAAATCACTACATAAAACATCCTTGTGGATATCTCTAGTACAGCTTTTCATGACAGGAAGCTATACATACATTTCTTGATCATAGACTTCGGAATCTAAGATCCGACATGAAAGGAAGATTATAACCAGAGCACGGGGCCTTCCGGTTCTTCAAACCACAAAAACCCCTTCTCGTGGAAGTTCACACGATAGTTACGTGAAACTTAACAATTATATTTAAAGGTGCAAAATTACAAAATATTCAGCTATAAATGGACAGTCTAGACATTTTCATCCTACGTATCTGCGAAACTAATGACCCGGATTAAACAAATTTGAGAGTAATGGATATATTGTATACCATTAGGGAAAGACAGAAGTACCCAACCGTAACGGAGTTACAATAATTTTTAAAGAAGAGATTAGTAACTGCATTAAAAATTTCGTTCCTTTAATTTATGTATCATGATGATACAGCTGCAAAATGAATTACTGAATTTTAATATAATACAAGATTATTCACCAACAGTTGACAAACCAGATGAAGAAATTGAGCAATTCTACAGTCAAATTCTCCGGAGCTAAATTCTCCGGGTGTTGTTTATTTTTACTGTGCATTTATTATTTTCATATAGACTTCTAATTAGTTGAGTTAAGTGGTGGGGTGTTCCCATTTTTGCTAGTATGGACCATAGCTGCTGCAATTTGACTTTATCGAAGGCCTTTGTGCAATCCACATAGCACATAAGCATTCTTCTTCTTACGGTGCCTTATCCTTAAGGACGTCGGCCATTACATTTGCCCATTTAATCTTATTTGTAGTAGCCCTGAATAGTTCTATGAGGTCATGTTCGTCCATTGCCGTAGGTTTTTAAGCTAAGAGTTGCGTCTTCTTCCTGGTCCTCTTTTGCTATTGACTTTGCCTTCGATTATAAGTTGGAGCAGTTCATACTTTTGATTTCTTATGATGTGACCAAAATATTGTGTTTTCCGTTCTTTTATTATAAGCATAAGCTCTCTTTCCTTATTCATCCTCCGCAAGACTTCCGCATTTGTCGTATGGCTCATGTAGGATATTCTGATCATTTTACGGTAACACCAGAGTTCGACTGCTTGGATTCTTTTTTGTGTTGCTTCTGTCATTGTCCA